TTTTATAACAATATATCTAAACAATTTTTTTGTTAAAAAAAGATGTTGTAAAATATGTTGTAATGTTTTGGTCTGTGCTCTTATGATATTAAAAAAGGATTAAGGTTTCTCATTAAAAAAATTTCAAAATGTCAAAAAAATTCAAAATATCAAAAAAAATTCAAAATATCAAAATTCTGAGATATCAAAAATATCATTCAATCAAAAATCAAATAATGTAATATTCTAGAATTTGTTATTATTTAGAGAAGGAATAAATGGAATAAATAAAATTTAATTAAAAAAGTTTTGAAAACTCATCGACCGATGAAATCCGAATATGTAATGAAATGTTTATTATTAAATGATATCATTAAAAAAAAAATTCTCACAAAAAGTTAAGCTTAATTTTTAATAACGCTTAATAAATTTTCCTAATGTACTGAATACTACTGATATTAAGTTTTTAATTCATCCGATTTTTTAAAAAGATTAACGGAAATTCTCGGAGTTTAATTGATGTCACCTGATTTTGTAAATCCCAATAAAATTTTTTTTTTTTTTTTTAAAAAAAAAAAAAAATGATGTTTAATTTACGGCATTCTTGTCTAATCTATCTAAGCATGTACAGCTACAGTTACCTCATGTGAAATATGAATAATTTTTCTTATTGTTATTCATCGCACGAAAATCTTTACCATTTTATTTCGTCCCAGCAATATAATCGTAACATGGTCGATTAAACATGTTTAAAGCCACACTTACATATATTCTCACACAGCGTAAATTATATATATCAAACAATCATTATATTTCATATATATTCCAGTTTAAGAAATTCCAAAAATATAAAAATAATCTTTTTTACATCAATCATATGAATTCCAGAGTTAATATTACCACTAACTTGTATGGTTTAGTTACATTTATACTGAGTAGGCACTGAGTCAAAAGATGACTAAAAATATTTATATCTAAAACATATATTTCAATATATTTCAATATATTTCAATAACAAGGGTTTAACAACATAAAAAAAATACATATTATTATTTATTATATATTATACCATTTATTTATTCATTCAGTATGTGTTTAATGTCGGGTTAATTGAAAAGTCAAAAATGATTAAGAAAAAAACAATATTCTTTATTAAAAAGATATAAAAATTCTTTCTTTTAATGGGGCGTGCGAAAAATAAAATTTTTTTTCGAAAAAAAAAAATATTTATTTATTTATTTATTTATTTATTTTTTTATTTTTTTTTTTTTTAATGAGAACAATGCGACTTTGAAAAATATTTTGTTTTATCGGAAAAAAAGATTTAGAAAATATAAAAAAATTTTTCTTTACTTTTAGTTTTTCTTGAAAAAAAAAACTTTCTAATCGAACAATTGAGATTTAAGAATCAAAATTGATTTTTATATTATGTTAAAGAATAATCGGAAAATTATTAATAATTGAAAATAATTATAATAATAATAAAATATACATTATTATTTGATTAAACTTTATACGTTTTCGTTCAAATAGCGGAAATCCCGTGGAATATTTTGATATATTTGATATATTTGATATTTGATACATTTTGATACATTTTGATACATTTTGATACATTTTGATATGTTTGATATGGTTTGATATGGTTTGATATGGGTTGAATATGTTTGGTAGATATGTTTGATATGGTTTGATATATGTTTGATATATGTTTGATATATTTTGATACGGTTAAATTAATGAGATTAATAAGATTAATGAGTTAATGAGTTAATGAGTTAATGAGTATAACAAAGAAATATTATTACAATATATTAAATATATTAAATATATTAAAAATATACATATAATATCAGTTTAAATATATTAAATGTCAGTTTATATATTTTAAATATATATATTAAATATCATTATTGATAAATAAAAAAAGAACGAATCCAACGAATCTCAAAAGATACATTACAGTACATATCCTAGAAAAGGGAAAAAACATGAATCAACTTTCCAGTTTTCATCAATCTAAATAATTTATACAATGGTATCATTACTTCAAAAGTATACATAATAATTTATTGATAATCTATATCAATAAAACAACGCGATTTTTTTTTTCCTTTTTTGCGATTTTTTGCGGTAATTTGAACAATACGAAAATTTTTAATAAATGTAATAAATGTCCTAAATAATTTCTTTTTATTACATAATAACAATGGAATTATGTATTCAAATACCTTTTTTTTACTCTTTTTAGTCTTAAAAAGTATTTTTTGAAAAAATGAGGTCGTGTCTCTGTCTGTTACATTTTGATGTCCAATCATTACCTTTTTCGATACAATTCAATATCCTTTCTTTTGAATTTATTTTAAAATAAATATTATTTATATATTTAACCACGAGATTTAAAAAACTTTTTGGTTACGCGTTATATTAAAAAATTATTAAAAGAGAAAAAATTGTAAAAATAAAATAGAATAAAAATTTCCAAAAAATTCCAAAACCGGATCATTGGAAATTATTAATAATAATTTTTTTTTTTATTTAAAAAAATAAAAAAAAATTAAAATTTTTTTTAAAAAAAAGAACAATATAATAAATAATGATCCGAGTTATTGGTTAATTGCATTTATCTCATTTAATCTCATTTATCTCATTAATCTCTTAATTATTCCAGGTCCCGTGCATTTTTAAAGGAATTATGTAATTAAAAGTTGTAACCGAATAATTGGGATTACGATATCAAAATAATATGATAATATGGTTTTACTGGACGGTAATAAAACAATATAATTTTTGTAAAAGGGAAAGGAGAAGCAAGGTATTTTGAACTTATGACTTATGAAATAGATAATCCATGCAAGTCTCACTTACATAACTTGCATGCTTTAGCTTGCATGATTTTTAATAAAACGACTAAAGGAAACAATATATATATATTTATAATCATTTAATTTGCAATTTTACAATTTATCACATGCTTGACTGCGGAAAAACTTGATAATTATTTTTTGTTTATTCATTTATTATTTTTTTTTCTTTATTGAAAAAAAAATATTCGTGACCGACGCGTGTATGGTTTCGTGATAAGATGACAATAATGACAATAAAGAGGAAGTTTATCAACTTTATATCAAATTTTAACAACAACTTTATTAATATATGTTTAAATGAACTTGTAATTTAAAGTATTTGGCGGGACATTTTTTTATGAAATAAAGAGATTAATAGTTTAGTTTATATGCTGTTTATGGTGTTTTTTATGCGGGTAAAGACAATAGTAATGAAACATGAAGTTGTCATTTTATGCATCAAGTCAAAATTTTTGGGTTGTATCAGTTGTATCACCACAATAAACTTGTACTTTAGGAAATGATAAATAAGTTTTTACGAAAAAAGTTTGATAATTACATAAACTTTAACAATTTTCTTGTATTTTTGAAACTATTTACCTGGTACTTTTACATTTTAAGGTTCATTTTTATATGAACCGGTTAACTTCCATATTTAGACTGACTGTGGCTTGATTGCGAATCGTAAAAAAAAACTTGAACTTGTAACCTGTTAACCTGTTAACCTGTTACCTGTTGGCTTGTGCTTAATCAACTTGGTTTGTGCTCAATCAGATCTTTAATTAAATCCTTATTGGTTTTTGTATAAGGGACTTGAAACATGTATATCGATGGTATCATGATGGTATGACAAAATATGACAAATTTTACGCCACGTGCCACACCGCCACTTTCTATAATAATTCCCGAGAAATTGGGTATAATATATACTATACTATACTATATATATATATATTTTCGTTCAAAACTTTCAAAAAAATCCTGTTTTCTCAATGTAGTAGTTAAATAAAGTTATTTCTCAATTTTCTAAACAATGTTACATATTATTATCAAGAAGAAGAAGAAAANAAAAATAAATAAATAAACATTATATGCATTGATAAGAAACCTATCAAAATTATATATAAATGGGTATTTTAAATCTTGGGGGAAAGGAAATAATAATTTTATTTTTGGATTAGGTTAAAAATTTCAATGTTAAACAAGTTTAAATAGCTTATCATTACATTTCATACATTTTCATTTATACATTTCGCTTAAAAATATATGCCGAGAAAATTATAATCTACTTGTTCTTTATCAGGAATTTTTTCAAGTTTTTTTAGAATAAAAAAAAAAAATTTTTTTTTTTTTTTTAAACAAATCATAATCTTTTCTTCTCCACGAGGATATTACAAGAACAATGGGAAAGACCGGATAGGAAATTGGTAAATGGAATAAACATTTATGGATATATTAATATTTGTTTTAAGAAAAAAAAATTTTTCTTCTTAATCCATTTTAATAATAAAAATATATCAAAAGACTAAACCAAATTTGTGGGGGTACGAACTGAAATTGGTCCATGCGAGTCCATTTCGCCAAGTTGTCTTCCTAAATTAAAAAGAAAGAACAATAAGTTTTATGACCAAATAACTTTAAAAATATGAACCATGTACCCGTACACTACATACATACATATTAGTTAATAACACTTCCAAAACTACATTCATCCATCCATCACTATTCAATATTTAATAACAAATAATGAATATGAATAATCAACCATACATATATTTATCCCGAACTTACAAAAAGAAAAAAGTGAAAATGTATTACAACATTACAACAACAACAACAAGCAAAGCAAAGCAAAGCATATTAACGCCCAACTGAATTATTAAAATCATGTAAATTAGCATGTTTTAACACGAGATTGTGCATCTTTTCCTATATAATCCTCATTTCTTTACTTTAAATGATTTTAAAATAATTTTTTTTTAAAAAAAAAAATTTCTTGAAAGGAATAAAAATGGAAATAATATATAAATAAAAACTTTAAAAAAAAAATATTACTCGGAATATAGCGAAATTATCATCCGATAAGAGGGGTCAAAAAGTTTGACAAGTTAATCAAAATAAAATTATAAATTATTTTGCTGCGCCATCGAACCTTAAAAAAAAAAAAAAAAAAAAAAATTTTAGTTTTACCGCAGTTTTTTTACGATCGAAATAACTTTAGATTCATATCTTTAAATGATTAATAACAACAAATAATTAAATAAAACAAATGCGGGTTATATCATAACTTTAAAAAAAAAAGGTTTACGTTTATAATGTTTACGATATTATTAATATTTTTTAAAAAAATTTAAATACTTGATATATTCAAAAATATCATTAAACTTTTTATCATAAAATCAGGTTTTTGATCTTTTCCGTATTATTTATTACACCATACATTTTGAAATACATTCATTAACATCCTTTATTTTTTTTTTGTACAATAATTAATTACACAGTACACATAACATTTAAACATAATATATCATCATAATAGAACACAAAAAAATAATATTTGTTACATGTACAATAAATAAATATAAATTTTTTTTTATTTTAACCAAAATTAATTTCATGTTTTAATTATCATTTATTTTAATTACTTTTTGATATGTCTTTTTTCCTTCTTTTTGTTATTTTTGTTATGTAACACATTATTATCATTATCATCAATTATATATATTTTTTATTATATTTTATTATTATTATTATTATTATTATTTTTTATTGGCGCGGGAAAATCAAAGTTTAAATTTCTTTGTTATCTTTTAATTTATCTAAAAAAGTTCTTTTTTTCCTTACATTTTATGTATATACATATATACCACGCATGATATTGACATACTGTACTTTACTTATGAGTTCCACGCGTTTTCATTATAAAAAAATGTGGCTTTGACATTAAGATATTTCCCTTTCTATCCTTTGTACATCATAACTTCATCTCAAGAACAATGACAAAGAAAGTTTTCGGAATTTCTAGTAAAGTGTTAGTAAACAAGTAAATAATCAAATTAAAAGAATCATTAATCCAATCAAATTTTATTTATTTAAAGCCAAATTTCCTTTTAATATCATACATTGTGTTTAATTAGGAAATTATATCCTGTTATCTAAAAAGTAGGCGTTAAAAATGTTAGGATTAGAACTTATAGGTAGTAATAGTAGATCTTTTTTTATTTAAAGAATGAAATAATAATGAATGACAAAGTAGGAATTCAAGAAAGAAACCTTTTTACCGAAAGATTTTAAAATAAAAAAAAATAGGGGGGTGAGAGAAAAAAAAATGAGAATTTTTAAAAGGATTGCGTTTGACTGCGGATTTACCGATAAAATCCAGCTGAAACCCCTATGATTTTGGTACGACAAAGAGGGCTGTGTTTCTGTCAGCCAGCCTGAATAAACCAAACCTGTAACTCCTGTAACTTGGTAACTTGTGCTCGACGATCAAATAAATAAAATGTGATAAAATGCGCCTAAGAAATAAATAAATGATTTTTCAAGAGATTCGCGTCGCGTCATAATTTTTTTTTTTTACACGAGAAACTCGAGAAACTTAACAATGATAACAATGATGTATATGAGATGTATATGATGTATATGATGTATATTATGTATTATGTATATGATGTATATGATGTATATGATGTATATGATGTATATGTGTATATGATGTATATGATGTATATGATGTATATAAACACTTGTAAATAATAAACCATTTGTAAATAATAAAACCGCTCGTAAATAATAAACCACTTGTAAATAATAAAACCGCTCGTAAATATTGTAAATATGTAAATAATAAACCACTTGTAGTATTGTATATATATTTATAAAAATATAGGAATTTTTTTTCTATATTTGAAATTTTATTCCATAAATCTTTTATTTTTTTTTTTTTTTTTTTTAAAAAAAAAAAAAATTTTAAAAACAAAATATAATAATTCAAAAGATTTTTATGAACACTAAATAAAAAAATAAAAATAAAGAACCAAAAAACCTTAATTGAAATTTAACCAATCACCAAAAAAACCGTTTTTTTTTTTCGTTAAATAATAATATATATAATTGTCGCGACATTTGCGCGTATTTGATAAACATATTTCTACCCTCCATAAAAAAAAAAAATTTATGTATATATATATATATACACTATATAACAAAGTAAAAAAGGAATTTGAAGGTCTTTAGTAATATAAATTTGCTTAGAAAGGAGTTTTTTTGCGTTCAAAGATAATTATGGTATTTGAACTTATTAACTACTTAACTAAAGAAAAAAAGTTATATTACTTTCTTTTTTTTTTTTTGATGTCGGGAGAAGC